AAATATTTGCTAAAAGTAATTATTAAATTGTTACTATTTGTTACATGAACTAATATTAAATTCTAAATATTATTTTATAAATTATTGCAGGTGTTTTTAATATTATTTTGTCTTTATATTTTCATTCTGTAACAACGTTGGTGGAAAATCTGACATAACTTATGTTGTTATTCTTGTAAGAAAAAGAACCTCTAAATTGTATTTCAGATGAGTCTGCTGATAACATAGTTTTATACAATAGTTATATAAAAAATAATTTTGTCTATACGAGAATTTTCAAACAATAAACAATGTTCAATTGCTCTTTTCTATTAAAGGAAAATTTTTTTTAGTGAGACCTACCAGAGATGCCAAATTAGGTACTATATTTTTTTGCAAGGAAAACAGGATTTAACAAGTTGCAATCACAAGTCTATTAAAATATGTAAATCAATTTTACTTTATTAAGTATTTGCACCATATTTATTATACACTAAATTACTAATTGCATAAGCAGTTACGAGGTGACTATATAAGTATTTACAGTACATTAATGATAGTATAGATGATTCTTTTGTATTTGACTAGTGTTGGCGTAGGTTTTGCTCACGAATGGGTTCATGATGAAGTTTGTTCGAAAAAATGGTGATGGTGGTACTATGCTGGTTTTTCATGTACCACAATTGCCATCGTGAGCCAGTCTTTTTGGTTTCTTCAAAGATTTCTGAAGTTTTTATCACAAAATTTCAAGCAGGATTTTAACAAGCTTCTATTACTCACTTCAAAATTTATTTTTTAATAGGCACTACACATTCTGAAACAATACGTTATGATATGTCTTTTGAGTTTGTGATTTCATTTACAACCTTAATAATACTATTACTAAAATGATTATTCTCTGTTTTATCTTGTAGGCGGAATCTTACTCAAATAGTAAACTGAAGTTTATTACTGAAATTTTGTCAGAATTTTCACCTGTAAAGTTTTACAAGGAATATGTGGAGTCTTACAAATCAAGAATAGAAGCGGAGGCAGATTTGTTGTCTCATCTGAAGGCGTTGAGTAGGGTAGGGAAGAGCAGAGAGATTCGCAAAGCTGAAAATTATATTGAGTGCTTTGATGAACTAATAAACAGTGGAGCATGTAATCGATATTGGAGTGATAAGGATAATTGGGATGTACAATTGGCTAAAAAATGGGCATAGACATGAAAAGCTATTCATGAATGTCATATTGAATGCAATGTGTATCAAGAACACGATGCTGTCAGCACGAGGATTGCAAAGTCAACGGTAGAAAAGCGAAAAAATGATAAACACATTGACAAAAAATGTAAATATTCAAAGCTAGTCTTTAATAAATAATTGATTTGTATTTACAAATTTTATAAATTTATATGGTATAAATAAAAGCAACGTCAAACTAAGTATGGAAAAAATATTCCAGATTACAATGAATCGGATTTTGAGTCCGAAATGGTATAGCCTTATCATTAATTTATGTTAAACCTTTTATCTAAATATCGTGCCAATGTCTTCATTTCTCGTACAGGAAAATGATGAGGCAGAGACTGAGTTGTCTTTTAACCCTGCTAATATTTCAGCAATTAAAAAAAATAATTACAGAATCTATTGCAAGTACAACTGACAAATTGGTAACAATTGTTGAGATGGTAAAAGAACAACCTTGAACAATTATGTTATAAAAGATATGATTAAAGATCACAAAAATAGTGTTAGTTACATCACGACTTAAAAAGACTTAAAAGCCATTTTTATTTCGATTTAAATAGTATAGTAATTACAGAATGAAAATTTTTAATGTCAAATATATTTTAAAATCTTTGTAATTTTTGAAATTTAGATGATTTCTTTATAAAAAATAAACCTTTATAAACAATTGAATTGTCAATTAAATTTATTTTACAATTTCTTTTAAAATTACAGTTATAAAAACTTCTTTCAGATTTAGAGGTCTAGGTCTAAAGTCTGAACAAAAGTTGAGAGTAAGGAAACTAATAAATATTTGATAAGAAACATTATGTCTATGGTAATTTGTGTTTTCCTTCACTTCTGTGCCTTCCTTGTTCATTAAAAACTCCAATCTTTGCAATATGAATTTCTTCTATTCGGCTAATTCCAAAATCAATATTACTAAAATTATTTAAAATCCGAACTGCTGAAAAAGGTTTCCTTTCCATTTTTCTATAATTTGGTTTATACAATTTATTCTCACCATTTTCCTCAGTTCTCCTATGACTAGTATTAATAATTGTAGCGTGAATCTAAGTATAAAATTAACCATTAGCAAATATGTCAAATATTTTAGAAATATGTCATGTTTGCATTTATAAATATAAAAAAAATAAACCTTTAGTGGACGATCCTCATTTTTCATATATCCTGCTATCGTAAATTTGGGGACTAAAAATTCTAAAAAATTGTTGAAAAATAGATTAATATCAAATAATAATAATAATAATAATAATAATAATAATAATAATAATAATAATAATAATAATAATAATAATAATAATAATAATAGTAGTAGTAATAATAATTATTATTATTATTATTTATTAATAATTATTATTATCATTATTTACCATTTAATTTTGTGATTACATCTTGATCTTCTACTTCTGAATACAAAACATTTGCTTGTGCTAAAGTTTTATGAACAATAATAATATAATATAATATAATAATATAATACAATAATTAATTACATAATAATTAATTATAATAAAAATAAAAATTATAAAATATAATTAATTTTTTATACCAGGATCATTTTCCATAATTTTTATTCCTGACAATTTAACAGAAATAGTTCTTGCGCCCACAAGTTCATTAATCTCTTTGTCTAAACTTTTAAGCAATTTTACTGCTCCTTCAATATCTTCTTGTTTATATAAATTCAACATTCCAATTGTAATATGCAATGAACTTGGTTTGATCATTATGGAAGGATCAATGTTAGGTAATTTAAGAGAGAGGATATCATTTTGAAATTTTTCCACTTTATGTTGAACTGATGGATCAAAAAGTGGTAAAGAAAGAAAATGGGATGGTCGAACTAATGTTTTATTCTGAACATGTAGAATTATTAGAAGTTGAATATCTTTTTTTCATCTAGAAAAAAAGATTGCTAACCTTTTCAACAACTTGTTCAATCATCAATTTTGCCTGTTCTACATTCATTTTTCTACCTTCAATTTCTGGAAAATTTCATTCCAAAGTAAATATTAAAAATTACTTTTTGTGTTGTGTAATAATAACGATCTAAATGAACTTTACATACCAATTTCGTCATTCTCAGGAATTGCACGAATTGATGTTTTTGTTTCGTATTTAAGCTTATTTATCATACGTCCTTTCGATCCTATTTCAAAATCGTTCTATTTAAACTGTAAAAAAAAAGTCAAAATCAAAGGATCACCAAAAACCATAAAAATACCAATTATATGTCCATGATATATCTGGGGAATAGATAGTTTTATTATTATTGAATCCGAATTTCCTTTTGTCTTCTTATTCTGATTAGTAGAACTCACACTTCTTTTAGTCAGAGTTATGGATTTTTGCTTAGAGGCTATATTTAATAAATTAGTTATATTAAAAAAAAATTTCTTTTTAATTAATTAAAAAAAAAAGAGAAAAAATATCTCTTTAAAAATTAATATATACAAGAAATTCCTGGTAATGCTTTGTCAGGTATCGAATCAGTAGAAACTCGAAACATTCTATTTCCACAAGATACAAGCGTTATACCTTGCATACTTCGCGGCATCAAAGATGAATTATTCATTTGAAATTTTGAAATGTTAGAAATGAAGAAAATGAAGATAAAATTGCTAACATGTGACTTGATGACATTTTATTTTCAAATATATCTGGGATCACCAATTTCACAACAAAAAAAAATATATATTTTTAATCTTTAGGATTTTTTTTTTTAACGAGAAACTCTTGAGGAACTTGAAGAAATTTGGAAAGTGTAAAGTGAGGACATAAAGTGTTCTTTTTACTGCAATCATTTTCAAGGACAGTGCAAAAAAAAAAAAAGGTCTTTTCTCTTATAGTCCATTGAATCAAGGTTAAAGAAATTGGTTCTTTATCTTGGAAAAAAACAAAACAAGTTGACTGTGTAATCTAGCCTGGATTCTCGATTACCTATAGATACTTTTGAGGACCAGTATCAATCACTACACTTACCTTTTGAAATCTACATAAGTTTACAATGCCAACTGGTTCAGGCGTCAAAATTTATATCGGCAACCTTTCGGAAAGAGCCAGACCGGAAGAAATCAAAGATCATTTTACGAAGTATGGTAACGTAATGAATATGGAACTAAAAGGAAACTATGGATTTATAGTAAGTGCTTACCTATGGTGCTGAGCACGTATTCCCATTCTCAGAGTCCAAAAGTCCGATTGTTACAAAATAAAAAATAAAAAAAAAAAAGTAAAACGTAAAACATGTAAAAGCAAGATTGCCTCATCATCACATCTGTTAAAGAAGAAAAAAAAGGGGGCGCTTGTTTGAAACTTGATATAAATATAACAAAGTTTTAGATGTCGTTTTGGTCACATTGGATGATAAAATAATCCTCAGAAGATTTATCACAAAAAAAAAAAAAAATTATTTAAAAATAGCATGGTACTGACATAAATGCAAAATAAAATTAAATGAAAGGAATATGAAGAACGTCGTATGTGTGAGGAAGCTATCACTCATCTACATGGATCCGATTTTCAAGGATCTCAACTTCGTGTTGAATTTGCTCACGCCGAAAGAAATAATGGAAATTTTCCCAAATATAGAGAAGGAGGAAAATCTAGCGATACATGTTTCAAATGCGGTCATGTCGGTCATTGGGCACGAGAATGTACTAGGTAAGCGACAATAGACATTAGTAGTCATTTGGCTAGTAGTTTCTCTATCTCATGGAATCGAGAACAAGGGGGTGAGCTACTTCGTGCTACTTCATTTCGTAGTGGATATTGTTAAACGTCATAAATCAAAATGGGCTATTGTTCAACTTTGAGATTTGCTGCTTTTTCTAATAGTCATAGTCATCGGCACACAAAGCTCTACGCTCTCCTTAAGAATTCTGATGTATTCAAATAATTGATGTCATTTAGTAACACTCGAGAATTTGTTTCTCGCAAACCTGGTGGTGGTCGATACGAAGATAGGCGTACTACAGACAGCTATGTTAGGGAACCTTACAATGGTAGAGGAGACAATAGAGAAAAATACGATAGAGATGAAAGATTTCCCCCTTCAACTCCTTTAGAACGTGGTGGTGGTTATGAACGTCCTTATGAAAATCGCTATGGTAGAGAGCCTGCTGAGTTGGAATATAGAAGAGATTTTCGTGGAACTTATGATAGACCATATGATAGAGAAAGAGATAGGACTTACGATAGAAACTATCCTGATCGTGAGTATGAGCGGTATAGAGATAATTACGATCGAAATTACTATCCTCCTCAAAGAGATGGTGGTTATGAACGGGAAGGTTATGACCGTAGACCATTGCCATTACCAGATGTTGCCCCATATTCTGCCGCTAGAGGTAGAACAGGCTCTCCCCCACTTCCACGTCGTGGTAGTTATGATAGAGGAATAAGGTAATCATTCGATTAAAGAAAATAAAATTCATTAATGCTAATATTTACAAATCATTTGGATCCACACTTATATTTATTTTATATATTTCTATTAATAGGGAACAACCATTGCCTTCTACTACTTATCGTGGTCGCTCCCCTCCTGCCACTCGTTATCCAGACCCATTAGTTGGTGGGCCACATACAATGAGACCATTATCTCCACGTCCTAACGTTTACAGGTTTGTTCGCATAAAAATAAAAATTGATTTTTTTTTTTTTGAAAATTTTGATATTTCCACATTTTTCTAAGTGTTTCTGACGTTTCTGACGTTTCTGACTTTAATGGTAATAATAAATATTAGAAATAAATTTGTGTTAAATCAAAGACGTCGTTCTATGAGCCCTTTGAGAAACAACAGAGTTCCTATTTCATATTCTGGACGACAAAGGTCACCTAGTCCCATAAGTACTAATAGACCGATGCAATCTCGGCGAGGACCAAAAACTCCATCTCCACGCTAAGATACAGATGATAATAGATAGCTATAAGTAACAAGCAACAAAGCAGATTCAATTTATTTCATTCTGGCAGATTCGTGTAGGCTCAAAGAAGTAGAGAAAGGCAGAGTTATGATCAGTAGTTTTTATTCTCTAGATTCTTCTTCGGCTTTCTAAGATGTGACAGCTCTCAAAAAATAATAGATTGCAATTTATGTGTAATCTCTCTTGTATATTTATTATATATATATATCTTTGTGTTGTACTTGGGCTTTCTTATCTTTTCGTTTTTTTTTTGTATTTAGGAAATTTTTTTTTTTTGTTATAATATCCATTTGTATCCATTTTTTTTGATGTTTTATTTAAATTATCATTCGAATGCTATAACTAAATCTCTATTTTTTTAGCAATGAAATAAATTAACATGACTTAGAAAAATAATAATTAAAATGTTTTCCATATGACAAATTTTTAATTGCTAATCTACTACCAGTTTATCCTTTTGATACATTTGATACATTTGATATAACACTTTTACAAATGCCAAAAAAATTTGTAATTCCTTCAATTTTTCTAATTTGATATCCGACTAAGTTGCTTAAAAGCAGTTTGCTGTAAAAAGCACAAAATAGTCATTTATTATAAAAATGTAATGTCAATAAAGGATTTACATTATGTATTGTGAGTATTGTCAAAGAAAGAGAAAAAAAAATCATGAATTCTATTTCAAATATAACACCAGTTGATACTTAATGTTCACATTTGTATGACATTTTCAAGTTTAAAATTATCAAATTTAATTATCATCATTAAATTCAACCAAACTCATATTTTCACCAACCATATCTCCAACATTATATAACACTTTATTTATTTTTCCTGGGTATGGTGATCTGATTATATGCTGATCAAATAAATAATAAAAAATATTTAAAGGTGCATTCATAAATAACATAAATAACATGAATCAAAAAATAATGATTACCTCCATTTTCATTGCTTCTAATATAATCAATGGTGTGCCTTTTTCTACAACTTGCCCAGGTTTTATTAATATCTGTAAAATAAAAAAAAATAAATTTCACTTGAAATCTTATGTGTAGAAAATGAAACAGAACTAAGAATTACGATTTACCTGAGAAATTCTACAAGGCATAGGTGTTTTCACAGAATGTGCCACATCTGAAACCCCAATATTAAGATAAGTAGGTTCTGGAATATTTAAAACTACTTTACCATCCTAAAAAAAGAATAAACAAATATATAATAATGATTAATAATAATAATAATAATAATAAACTATATCCAAAATTCCGAATCTAATAATTCTTACCTCATAAAAAATAATAACATTTTTATTCTTTTCAAATATTATTCGACTTTTATATCTCTTATCTCCGATGGTGGTTATAATTTGCTGTTGGGAATCGATCCATTCACAAACCACATTTTCAAATTGAACTAAATTTTCATCAACCGCACGGTTTTTGACAGTAATGTTATATAAATTTTTCGGAAGAAATTCTATATTGACCTCTATATCATTGTCATTCTGATCACGGAATGCAAGAATACGGGAGTGACTAGTATTAAGACGGAAATACGGAAGTTTGGTCCATGGTGAATATGGATCTAAAAATATATATATTTTAGAAAATTTTTTTAAAAAAAATTTATTTAAAAAATTAATAAAAAACATACCTTCACTATTTGATTTAAATGATTCTCTATATTCATTTAATATTATCGATAAAGCAGCTTGAACTAGAATTTGTGGTGGAATTTCTGGTTTTGGTGCAAATAATTCTTCTTTGTGATCCTAAATAAATTACGTAGAGGGTTTTCAATCAAGTTTTTTTTTTTTTGAAATAATGTAATAGAATAGCAAAAGAAAATAATATATCTTACATCAATAAATCCAGTTTCAACTTCACCTTGAATAAAAACAGGATGCGACACAACACTTTTTAAAAATTCGATATTGGTATTTAATCCTACAACCTTCAGAATATTAAAATATTTATTGTCAATGATTAAATTTCTCTTTAAAACAATGAAAATAATGAAAATGAAAAAAATAATCGGTACCTCATATTCGTCTAAAGCTTTCTTCAATATCTTTAATGCTTCAGTACGATTTTCACCTTTGACCACTAATTTTGCGATCATGGGATCATAGTATATATTAATTTCATCACCTTGTTCAAAACCGGTTTCCAACCGAATGTTGGGTGATAATTGAGGAGTACGAAGATAAAGTAGTCGTCCAGTATCAGGAAGGAAATTACTTTAAATTTTAAAACAAAAGTCAATAATGATTTTTTTTTTTTATAATCATGGCAAATAATTAAATGAGAGAGAGATATATATATACATACTTTTCTGGATTTTCTGCATAGATCCGTGCCTCAAATGAATGGCCGTTTAGACTTAAATCATCTTGTCTTGCAGGTAATTCATTACCTGAAGCTATCTACAATATTATACATTATACATAATTTATTATAATATGACACTTAATGATGCAAGATTAAGGAAAGATGCAAGAAAAATTTACCTCTAATTGCCAATGAACCAAGTCTGTAGATGTAACCATCTCAGTTACAGGATGTTCCACTTGTAACCGTGTATTCATCTCCATAAAATAAAATGTTTTAGTCTTATTATCCATAATAAATTCCACAGTTCCAGCACCAACATAATTCACAGCTTTAGCTGCTGCCACAGCTTTAATTCCAAGTTCATACCGAATCTCATCAGTGATTCCAGGTGCCGGGGCCTCTTCCAATACTTTTTGATGTCGCCTTTGAGTAGAACAATCTCTTTCAAATAAGTGTACAATATTTCCTAATGTATCCGCAAATATTTGTACTTCAACGTGTCGCGGTGTTAACAAATATTTTTCAATGAGTACTTGATCATCACCAAATGATTTTATTGCTTCTCGTTTAGAAGATTCGAGTTGAATTTCGAATTCAGATGGATCATTGACTATTCGCATTCCTTTACCACCACCACCTTTAATGGCTTTGATTAAAACTGGATATCCAATTTCTAAAGCTTTAACTTTTAAGAATGTGGGATCTTGATTGGTTCCGTGATAACCTGGAATTACTGGAACATTGGCTGCTATCATGATATCTTTTGACTCACTATATATAAATAAATAATTATAACAATTATAAATAAATAAATAAATAAATAAATATATTATATATATACCTAAAAACAAAAAAAAATATTTAATTTTCTCAAACAAATTGATAAAAACCTTTTTGATCCCATAGAAATTATGGCAGAAGCAGGTGGCCCAATAAAAATTATTTTTTCTTCAGCAAGACGTTTAGCAAATTTAGCATTTTCAGATAAAAATCCGTATCCCGGATGAATAGCCTATGAGATCAAATAATTAAAATAAAATCGTCGAAAAATGTATACATAATGTTAACCCAATTAAATCTAAACATCAAAATACAAACATTTTTCTATTTATTTATTATTTCATATAGCGGTGTTCAACACCTGTGCACCACTCTTTTTAGCCACGGAAATAATTTTTTCGATATTTAAATAACTTTCGGCGGGACCTATTAAATATGCTTCATCTGACTGTTATATTTATTTATTAATTAATTATTGAATATGTTAATAAAATGAATTATAATTTATAATACATTAAATACATTAAATATATATTAATGAAGATGTTTAATCCTTGCCATTTTCACATGCAATGAATTTTTATCAACTTCACTATACACAGAAACTGTCTTTATCCCAAGTTTATTTGCTGTTCGCATTACACGACAAGCAATTTCTCCACTATATAATTAATAAATATATATATATATAAATAAATAAAAATAAAAATAAAGAGTGAATTAATTTAATCGATTAAATTAAATAATCCTAAAAATTATACGAACCGATTGGCAATTAAAATTTTGTCAAATAATGGTTTTCGTACTAACAACGAAGGAAAAAAAAAACCAATAAAAACCGTTATTATTGGTTCATTTGTAGAAAACAAGTACAGAAAAATAATACACACTTTGCGAAAAATTTGTTGCGAAACGTGCAAAACGTGATAATGAAGTTTGCGATTGAATTAATGAAAATATATTTTGATTTTTAAAATATCTAATTAGATACATTTTGATATTTGGAGTTCTTCGAGTTTTCATTATGAACGAAAATTATGTCATTAAATAACCCAAATTTGGAGATTTATGAGGAGATCGCGTGCACAACTAATTCATAATTTCGTTAATTTCGCGGAGTTCAGTTTTCCATGAGGATCTTACTTATAATTTACACAAATACTTTCTTTTTTCAAATTTAGAGAATGTATCTCAAAACGCGAACAAAGCTTACGCCTGGGAAAAGTGTTTGAATGTATAAAAATAGTACATGATGCAGCATAAACGATCTTGTGTTGCCAATTGATTGATGCGAGTTTGTTTTCTCAAAAGGTAATAAAACCTTCATCCGCAGCGAATAATTAGTTGAAGGAATTTATTTTACCTGTTTTAGTTTTTCCGGAAAATGAAATTATGACTTTAAAAGTAAAATGTTATATAGGAAACTTATAACATACCAAAAAGATAAACATAGAGATAATAAACATATTCTTATATAAAGAGCATTTAGCTAAGTTTTGAAATCTTTGAAAAAATAGAATCATGAATCTCGAGTTCTTAAAGACCCAGGAGATTTCTCAACTAACAATTCTCAATGATCTAAAATTTGATAATGTGGAGGAAATGCTAAAAAATCCACCATATCAATTGTTTTTATCAATTGATGAGCTCATTTCTCCATCAAAAAATTCTCGAGCTTCAAAAAAGTTTGAAAAAAAAATTAGAGGTCCCCCTCGACCCCTTAATGATTATTTTATTTTTCGAAAAAATTTCGAAGTTTACATTCGCTCTCAACAGAATGCAATTAGTGCAACTAATGTTGGGAACGTATCTCGATTCGCATCATGTGAATGGAAAAAACAACCTCCAACTGTAAAGTTGTTTTTTAAATTTTTGGCAGAAATGGCCAAAAATAAACATAAAGAAATGTTTCCTGGATTCAAGTACAATCCAAAACGTCATAAAAAACTTTCTTCTTTATCATCTATACCATTACCACCCGATAATTATGATGAAATTTTTGATCAAATCATTAATCACGAAATGCTTGAATGAAATTTAACATAAATAATTTATTCATTATAATAATAATATATGCATTTTAAATTTTATTTATATTTTTAAATTTTAAATATAAATTCTTATTAATAAGCTTAATTTATATATATATTATATGTCTTATCTATATTTATATGTTTTATGTTATACATTATGTTATATGTTATATGCTTTATGTTACACAATATATGCTACTTATAAATTCTATAATATATTTTATGAAATAAATAATTAAGTTCAAAAAATCACTATAATATAATTAATATAATTGATTAATTGATATTAAGTTATAATCATCTGAAATAATTTATTATAAGATTTCTTTTATTATATTTTAATAATATTTATAATATTTTTTTATTTGTCAACAATATGAAATTATATATAATAAATAAATCAAATTTATAATAATATATTCATTATATAAAATTTTTTTATTAATTTACATAATTAATTTTGCTATTTTTTTTTTACTATAATATATTTTGTTAGTATTAAAATTATATATAAAAATAGTATTTTTAATTATTTTATAAAATAATAATATTACAAATTTTTATATAAAATTATAATATAAATTTATAATTATATTTTAATTTTAAATAAATAATTTTTAATTATATATTTTAAAATAAATTTTATTAATTTAAAAATATTTAAAATTTTAATAATTAAAATTTAATTAATTATTATTTCTTCAATATATTTGAAATTTATACAATAAATATATTTTATTTAAATATTAAGTTTTATTTAATATTAATTTTAATATATTATTAATAAAAATAAAGTTTACTATATAAAAACTTTCATAATATTAATTGTAAATAATACATTGATACAAAGATATCAAATAGGTAACATTGCAAAATATCCAAACTATAACAACTATTATAGCAAAAAATGAAAATGCATTAATAACTATAAATTCATTATTCAATATCATATTTGTAAAAAAGATTTGGATGAGATCAATAAATTGGTTAAAATAAAATATAAGAGCTGTATACACAAGAATACTAAGTTAGTAGAAAACTTAAAAACTAAATACATATGTTTAATAAAAACTAAAACATTCCAATTAATCAATATTAATGTCATTAAAAGTAAAGTTTTCACTAAAAACACATTTGATAAACAAAACAAATTTTGATTATGTTCTAACAAAGTGACTATTTTAGATAGCCTTATTAAAATGAAAAACAATGTGCATACTATTGACCTTATCACTTCACAATTTGAGTCCCTAATAGTTATTGATAATAATATTAATACAATACGATAACAAGAAAATAAATATTTGACCTTCTGAATGAGTAAAATAACACAAAACAATCTTAATCAATTACAAATAAGTCTTATTATGGAAAAAACTATTGATATATATATAGACAGTTCTTTTATTACAAACTATGATATTTCAAATTAATAACAAAGTAAGTTTATTTCAATGGGCTATAGTTAGGTCACAGTTATAGGAAACAATAAAGAAGTTAACTTCAAAGGTTTAGTTAAAAATTTTTCATCATTAATATATATAGAGTTAATGGTTATTCTTATAACTATTTACAACATGATTCCAAGAAAAGCTATGGTAAACATCTTCACCAATAGTCAAGTAACAATAGACACTAGAGACTAGTATTTGTCATTAATGAATTAATGATTACAAGAGATATTAGTGTTCAATTAAATAAAGTAGAGACTTATTCAGAAGTGAAACTGAATGAGAAAGTAGATTTACTAGTCAAAGAAAGTTATATAGCTGAAACATGTATACCTAATATATAAAACCTTTCACTTATAAATGCTACTGTTTATGAAAAAACTTTCCAGTCAAAGAATCTCTATAAGATTTTATAAAGAAGCTCAGAAGTATAAAGTTCTCAGCCTAATGATATTTAATTAATAGAAACTTAAATAATATATTTAAAAAGAAAGTTTATTTGATCTGCTGAAAAATAACATGGAAAACTTCTATGTTGACACATATTGAAAACTTTCACACTAATAGTAATCAAACTTATGAATGAGTATTCAATATTAAACTATTAAATTTGAAGCTACCCACTTTAAGTTTGATAAGAGAAAAATATCCTAATATTTATAACACAGATACCTGTATACAATATGAAGATGCAATTGAAGATCAATTCCACTGGTTTACATATAAGAGCAATACTATAGATATTCACACATGCAAATATCAATTAATTACTCTTTTAATTCAGAAAATAATCACCAATAGTATGAATAAACTAGAAATAATTTTAGACAAAAGTTTAAAAATCTAGAAAAATTAAATGTCCCTTTCAATTCCATATTAGATTTCAATTGAATTCCTTTTATTAATGTGATACATGAATTAGTTCTTATCTCTATCATTGATAAAGTACAACAAATTATCTATGATCATATGCTTATCAAAGTAATTATTGAAAAAACACTAAACAAATTTAAAAATTTTATTAAAAAGCCATATGAAATCTCCATTATAAAATAATTATAAAATGGAAAAAATGTATTGGAATCAAATTAAACAAATAAAACTAAGATAAGGGGGCTATTGTAAGTCCAGAGCAAATTGTATTGATTATTTATTATTAATTATATTAATTCAATATGTACAATTATGTAATCGCCATACTTGTAAATATTATAAATAGAATATATTTTTAAGCACGTGACTATAGAAATAATCTAATCTGCGTCATAATGTAATAACACGAAACAAAGTTTTTTTTTTGTAAACGAATGTAAAATTTTATTAATAAAATGACATTATTTTTTATAAGCATAAAATTGTAATTACAAAGTGACTATGTAATGAACTATCTAAACTATTCTGAATTCATGAAAATTAAATTGTTGAGAATTGTTTTTCATTTTTTTTCATGGATGATGATCAAATTTTCATTTTTGATTTTAACTTTTGATTGAATAAATTGAAAAATACGTGTAAAATGCATTTGTAAATGTGTAAATATTTCTAATCTACAAGATAAACATATTTGTTGCACAAGTAAGAACAAAATATAAACATTTAGATTATTCGAATAAATTTTTTGTTTGGCTACAAACAGAAGCAATTAATAAAACTATATAAAAACAAACAAATATTAATTGTATTAATAATAATAATGAACAGATTATATCGTGAAATACAAAAAAAATACAAAACTAGAGAGAATAAAATTCTGGAACAAAGTAAAAGATGTCACGCAGTGTGACTCACGCTTGTGATTGTGAAAGTAAAACCAGAAAAAAGGCCAATAAAACTGAAGGACAACGTAGACAATAATTGATTAGAGAAAAAGAACAAAAGAAAAAAAGAAGAGTAATACATAAGGGACTTAGATTAACACCTGGTGTATGCTCTAACCATCAAGGAAATAATATAGAGGATCACCAAGAAAATAATGTAATAATCCACCAAGAAAATAATGTGGAAGAACAAAAGTAAGTAGAAAATCAATTTATTTTTATTAAAGTTGAATTAATTCTGGACAATAAAAAATAAATTGAGAAATAGTCGTAGACCATGTTCTGAACAATTACCTTCTGCATCCATCGAAGCTGAATTACTTCCTGAATCTGATCAAAAACTTCTGTAAAAATTTTGATCTAAACTAAAAAAATTTGAAAACAAACTTTGTCCTGTATGCAATGAACATTTTTCATCGATTAAAATTGTTATGGGAACATGTCAGCGTTGCTACAGTGACAAAACAATTTCAAAAAAGTTTTCTGCGCAAAACAATATGGACCCAGACGATATACCTGAGGAATTATAGGGGCTTACTGAAATTGAAAAAATGTTAATTGCACAAATATTTCCTGTAATATCAGTGTATTGTCTTTGTGGAGGTCAATATGCATATAAAGGAAATGTTATTAATTTTCCTCAAGATGTACATAAGTTTGTGATGCGACTTCCTCGTCATCTATCATCATTGGATACACTTGTGGTATGTTGACAATCTGCAAATGGATCGACCTTCAGAGATTTTAATATTCATCGTATTAAGATAGCTCAGGTACTTTCCTGGTTAAAAGAAAATAATCGTTATTATATAAATATAATTATTGATAATGAAATACTACAATCTTTACCTGAAAATGACCCCATTAATGAATATCTTCCACAAGTTCAAAATGCCAATGAGCAGTTAAATGACAATGAGTTAAATGATGATAAAAATGAACAATTAAATAACAATATAAATAAAACCAATGACACAATTATACGTAACTTTGTTCTTTTCTCTCTTCTATCTCATTGTGAAGATAATGTCATCAGTAATACTCTTGCTCAAATGCAAACCAAAAATAAATCAATTATATGATCAAATATTGATGAAAATCCGATCAATGAATTTCATACTCCTGGATATATCACCTGCGCTTTCTGACACTATATCCATATGGAAATACTGATCTTAGGGTAGAACATGTAAGAGATGTCAAACTCGCAGAGTATTTCCAATATATGCTTAAATACAAAGATGGTAGATTTGCCCATCACACTCGTTGGCAATACTTTGCATTAAATTCACAAATACGATGGAGAGCTTTGCAGGAAGGAAGAGTGTATGTTAAACAGGATTTAAATAATAAACAATTAACAGTTAAAGAAGTTTAAGAAATGAATAACGAAAATTGTCACTTTGCTAATCAAATTATGCAGTACAGCGAAAGTTTGCATGGGACATGACAATTTGGATTAAATGGCGATTTCAATTATCGGATATGATTAAATAGCTAGGAACGCAGGGAATGATTTTTTTCACATTTAGTACTGTAGACTTGCATTGGCCAGAACTTCACAGGCTAATGCAACATGATAAAAATTGAGTTGAAGAATTGGAACAAGATACGGCTAAAAATCGGTGTTAAAACTTAATTAATAATTCATATATTGTGACATGGTTCTTAGAGAATCACTTCAAATCATTCTTGGAAAAAGTATTAATTTCAAAATGAAATTTAGAGGATTGGTGGTACAGGTATGAATGGCAACATTGAGGCAGTGTCCATGTGCATGGAATAGGAAAACAAAAAGATATACCAGCAATTGAATGGGAGAAAATGAAAAAAGATAATGAATTAATGGTTAAAGTGGTTCAATATTTAGATTCCCTTGTAACCACAATTAATTTCAGAATTGATGTACCTGTACCTAATCGACATCCCTGCTAAAAGCTTGATACAGAGTTATGTGACGATCTACAAGATTACATTGAGTTGGTTAACAAACTGCAGCACCATACAAGATGTAGTTCTTCATATTGTCTTCGTACAGATCATGGGAGTAAACAATATTGCAGATTTGGATTTCCAAAAGAAACTGTAGAACGAACCTTCGTGCGTGATGATGCTCGTGGCAATCTGGAACTTATTACGGCAAGGAATGACTCTTATGTTAACCCATATGATCGAGTTCAACTTCAGAGTTGACGTGCAAACGTTGATTTGAAGCTTATTCTCACTACCCATGTCGCTTTTCAATATATCTCCAAATATGCGAGTAAATCGAAGCCACGATCTAAAGCTTTTTCAGAAATTTTAAACCATATTCTTTCTAATAGCTAACTCAATAATTCATTTCTCAGCTCATTTCAAAAGCTACTACTTCACACTGTTGCAGAGCGTGATATCTCTGTACAAGAAATATACCATTTGCTACTTGGAATTCCCTTATATCATTTTAGTCATCAATTCATCTCTTTAAATCTCAATAAAGATGCTTTGTGACTGCTTTGTGGCTTTGGAAGGGAAGGCAAGTTTATGAAACCAATGAAGCCAAAAAAATGATACAATCGCCATTGCAAAAATATTAGAACCGGCCTAGTGAACTTGAAAATATTTCACTTTTTCAGCTTTATTTAAAATATAAATTTTTAAATAATCAGTGAAAACTATGTGAACGTGAAAATATTGTACGCATTTGGCCACAACTATCACCTTAGATTAATGGTCCTCAATGGGAAGAATTTTGCTGTTTAAAAGTCCTGCTCCATGTAAAACACAGAAATATTGAGTAATAGACTATAAATAATACTGTCCTTTGGTCGTACCTTTTCAAACTTTATAGTGAAGAGATTGCCAATGATCGTGACGACTTACTTGGTTCTCTCATAAATAACATGGAAGATAATTTTATTAATGAGGAAGAAGAACAAATAGATGATGATGAAAAATATGAGAGGGAGATATGATCTGAGTGGATGTTGTTAGCAGAAATGAGCTCAAATGCAATCATAAATAAATATTCAGATTTGAGTTCATGTGAAATTGATAAGAATTATGATTAGGTTGGTGACATAAGGCATTGTCACCCCAGTATCGATTTTGCAGATGTGACTACTTTTCTGCAACAAGTACGTGATGAAAATACTTTAGATTCCAATAATTTAATTAGCTCAATAGATTTTTAAACTTTGAATAAAAAGCAGAGAGTGATATTTAAACGGATTGAAGAACATTACCTAGCTATAATTGAAGGTCATAATCATATAGAATCTCTTAGAATTATTGTCATGGGAATGGCGGGAACTGGAAAATCGTACTTAATCAAAGCAATTCAATATCAGCTTAACCTAATGGCAAGAAATTATTATGGTGATGATGCCAAGTCGCCTGTACTTGTACTTGCTCCAACTGGGATTGTAGCATTTAATATTCAAGATATCACAATCTATTCAGCACTTTCCATTCCAGTAAATGGTTCTTGCTTCGATATAGGCGGTGAGCAGTTGAAACGACTACAAAAAAAATTGAATAGTGTACAATATTTTATCATAGATGAAAAGAGCATGGTTGAACACAAAATGCTTACCTTAGTTGATATGCGGTTATGACAAGCTTTCCCTGAATACTGAGATCAACTCTTTAGTAGGAAATCTGTTATTTTTATTGGAAATTTTGGACAACTCCTCCTATTCTTGATGATTCAATATATTCAAAAACCCCTAAATGTGATCCGGTGTCAAATGACAATATGACTGCATACCAACAATTTTCAGAAGTCTATAAACTTGATGTTGTCCAGCATCAATCTGGTGATTCTGTGGATCAGTGACATTTTAGAGATATCTTGTTACATTTGCGTGATGGGAAGTATACCTGCCACCCAAATTCAAAATCCAAATGCCAAAATCCCAAATGCCGAAATTCCAAATCCCAAATCCCAAATT